ATAGTACGGCACCCATATAAACAGGATGCTAAAAAGGGGCCCTAATATTGAAAACTACCCAAATGCGCCTTCGCCCCGAGGCTCTGAGAATCCAACCTTCTGTGGGCTCTTCTTGGCCTTGGCCTCAGGGATTGGAGGGTTTAGGGGTTTTAAGGGGTTTTGGGGGTTTTAGGGATTTAGGGGTTTAGGGGGTTTAGGGCTCGGGCTTTAGGGGCTTTGGGGGGTTTAGGGGTTTAGGGGGTTTAGGGTTTGGGCTTGAGGGGTTTAGGGGGTTTAGGGGTTTGGGGGTTTGGGGGGTTTGGGGGCTTCGGGTTGGGGGGAGCTCGAAGATTCCGACTTCTTTCATCGTGTATTAGTTTTATAAGGGTTTAGGGTTTAGGGTTTTATGAACATCTGTTAGTGTCTGCCCTAGAGACTCCGAATCGTTGCTAGGAGAGTGTTGTGTCAGACATCCGTTGGCTTCGTAGGGCTTTAGGCTCTATGACTCACCAAGAGCATAAGCCCAAAGCCCTGAGCCCTAAACCCTAAATCCTAAACCCTGAAATGTTCAGCCCTGAGCCCTAAACCCGAAGCCCCCTAAACCCCAACAGTAGCACTAACACTTTTGTGTTAAAAGAACACGAATGACAATAATGACAATAACGGCAAGGAGACTAGCTAATAGTGACCACCATGGTAGCAACAAAAACAATGGTAATAGTATAATAACGATAATCATGACAACAGTAAGAACTTGCAACACAGTATCATAATAACAGTGATCATACCAAAAATAGCATAACCCTAAACCCTAAACCCTAAACCCTATAAACAGTAATAACAACCAACATGCACAGGACCCTAATTTAGCGAACTACAGAGTAACAGAAGAGTCATCCCTAAACCCTAAAACCCTAAACCCTAAAACCCTAAACCCTAAACCCTAAAACCCTAAAACCCTAAACCCTAAACCCTCATAAAAAGCCAACATGCACAGCTCAGGCGCCGACCCGCTTCTTCGGAGGCTCGTCGAGCTGAAGTTGCGAGAGGCCTGGCCACGAGAACCAAATAGGCCTCTTAGAGTTTAGGGTTTAGGGTTTAGGGTTTCAAGGATAAGGGTTGAGCGTTTAGGGTTTAGGGTTTCAGGGATAAGGGTTGAGGGTTTAGGGTTTCTTAGGGTTTCAAGGATAAGGCTTGAGGGTTTAGGGTTTCTTAGGGTTTCAAGGATAAGGCTTGAGGGTTGAGGGTTTCAAGAATAAGGCTTGAGGGTTTATGGTTTCAAGGATAAGGGTTGAGGGTTTAGGGTTTAGGGTTTAGGGTTTCAGGGATTAGGGGCTGAGGGTTTAGGGTTTAGGGCTTCAAGGATAAGGGTTTGGGTTTGTAGGACTTACAGGCTTCATAGGCTTTAGGGCGCAGGTGAGTCTAGGGCTTATCGGGCTGAGGGCACAGAGGTCTTTGGGCTTCAAGGATATACGATCTAGGGTTTAAGGCCCCCTTCCAACTCTCAGTTTCATTGCATTGGGTGTCCACAGGGGCATCTTAAAACAAAAACAACGTCAAAAACAGATATCAGGTTGTATCCGCACATCCCACAGGCCGGATCGGCTTGCAGCCAGCGAGGCGGAGTTGTGATCCTGTTTCCGGGAGTTAGCACTTAAACGTTTCGGTAGTCTGGGTTGGGATGTACCTGGAACCCATAAGACCCACGTTGTGAGGGTTCCTGATTATGTTGTAACCCTCAACAACAACTTCAGCCTTTTGATATTACATGCAGAGTTTAAACCTAGGTCGTTGAGATGCCAGTTGAGGTTCGATGTACATGGAAATTTGCGAGCCGTATTTGTCGGAATGTGAAAGTGCATGTCCTTACGGTCACTATATATAATGATGGCTAAGTCCTTTAACAATCCTAAGACTCATAAACCATAAACTCCGGCAGAGGCTCAGATGGGCAGATACCCCTGGGTCTGAAAAACACAAAATCTCAGTTCAAAGCTTCCTACGCCGACGCTCCCACGACGGCCGCAAGAGGGTTTAGGGGGAGATGTTCTTAAAGGGCTGTTTTCCAACTGCACGAAGTTTGGGCGTAGACTTCAAGGCTTAGGTAGCGGCTTAGGTCTTATAGGGGTTATCGCAGTAGTAATCCTTTGTGATGCTTCTGCCATTCCGGGACAGGGCCTTAAACGCAGCCCCCGCCGCCACTCCATCGATTTGCAACATCTGCTGACCGCTTTTGGGCCACATCGTCAGAGGCCTTCCCAGCTTCATATAGAAAGCGGTTATGACTAATGGGAATGACTGGAACATACAACAGTACTCTTCGCTTCGTACATGTCTGCTGTCCCTTTCTTCACCAAACCTTGTGCTTGATACAGGTTTGGGAAAGCCTCCTGAACGCACGCAGCATTCAAAACTGGATCATACAGCCTTTGCGGCTCACAGCTCTTTGTGGCTGCCATTCTTGTCAATCTGCATAAAATGTACGGTGTCCGATGAGCCGTCCTGAACAAGGCTTGGTGTCGACTGGGGGTAGCCTGAGTAGCCCTTCTTCCAGGACCACCAGCGGGACCACTTGCGACCGTAATATGCCTTCGCCTGGGTCGTGGTTTCCGGTTCCGTGGTCGTGGTCGTGACAAGCCCCACCTTCACCATGTCTCCGTACGAAGTCAACGCAAGAGGACCGAGCAAACGTCGCGTGCCTTGATAGCGGGCTTTGAAGCTGTGCAGGCACTTGCTGTTATCCCAGGAAATGAAGCGCTTGGCGATCGCCTCCACCTCCTTGACAACCTTCTGGTCGTCAGCGATGTCCTTGAAGATGAGCTTGCCCAGGTGGCCACCATCCGGGGCGGACTCCAGGTAGGCGACTGCAGCCGTTCCCGGAACCTTGCCGTTCACCCAGTGGGTCACGTGATCCGCATGCTCTTGCACATCGCCGCTCTTGCGGGAGACTGGGACGGAAGACTTGGAGGCCGCCAGCTGTGCTGCCTCCTTGCCAGTCATGGTTTCCCGAAGGCGTCGCTCAAGAGCTGCATGGCCCGCGACTTCGTGAATGAGCTTGACCCCCACGGGCTCCAGCACTTCCACAGCGCTGGAGAGCTGGGCCTCCTGCTCTTTCGACCTCAGCTCCGACTTGAGGCGCTCGAGCCACTCCTCTGCGCCTCCAGATCTGCGATCACGGCTTGTGCTTCGGCATCGGAAAGGAAGTTGTCGATAACCTTGATGGAAGACAAGCACGTCACATCCGGACTCGCCAGGGCCTGTGCGAGCAGAACCGGTGCCAAGAGCCAGGACCCAGCCATGCTGAAGGCGCACGAGGGTTCTGAATGAAGCTTCTCAAAGTCGCTCGAGCCGCACTGGCCCCAAAGCTTCGGACCGCGAGAACTAAATAGACAACTACATGACGACTACTCGCAGCACTACTACGAATCCTACTCATCCATGCGACTCAGACTGCCACTGCGACGACGAATTCTGCTACCACCGCTGTGATGTGACAGGGAACATACAAGCAGTTGGAAATGCTCGCCATTGCCATGAAACTAGATTGTCAAGCGCAGAAGATGTAGCAGTGACACGAAGAAAACCCTGACCCTGACCACTATGACATGAGGGGGACACAGACAGCATAAGTAGTAGAGAAGTCATCACGAACAACACGACCAGCAATGCATTCACAGGCAAGTGCAAATATCTTCTACCAGCGCTCGTTCCTCTATATCTGTAGCTATGGTTGCACTTCAAATACAAAGGCTACCCTAGACCCTAACAAGTGTCCGAAGCTCCCTGTCGTCCGATGTCCTGTTCCGTCTTCTGGGTACTGGCCCGACGTTTGCGGGACTCCTTCGGCCGTGTTTCCATGGGCTGTGTCGGTTTCTGAGTGTTTCTGGGTTGAGCTGCTTCTGCCTATTCTAACAATGCTTAAGAGGTTAGGGTGGAGTCCGCTTGTTATGTGGGAGGGAGGGGATGAGGAGTTGTTGTGTTGATAAGGATTGAAATCATGTGTGCTCTGGTCAACGACGGCCAAACGGGCCTGGTTCTAAGGCTTCGGCGGCCTGTACGCGCTCAAATTCGTGTCGACAGTTATGATAAGTGAGCAGTATACTCACAACTATGCGATAGAATAGTGCTCCTCTGCGCTGTCTGTGTGTCTCAGGCGAGGTTGCCTTCCTCGAAGCACTGGCTCTGGCGGCCACAACTCGAAATATCCTTGAAGCTAAGCAGTCCCTTAAGGTCCCTTACAGTAGTCCACATAACCCATTCCGCAATTCCCTCCTAAGAACCACCAAAGAAAGTCAAGTCACACCCTAAACTCTAAACCCTACTTGCAGGTTCATGGGTAGTTATAAACGGGGTTATAAGTCCCCTAATATGGGTTACAATTNNTATAACTACGCATGAACCTCCAAGCAAAACAAAGCCATCAACCTGGAGTCAAACCACGAAACCCCCAAGTGGCGATGCAAGGCTCCCCTCCTTGATCGGGGCTCCAGGCGTGTTTCGCGCAGGCTCTGACCTTTAGGGCTTAGGGATTCAGCGATGCGCGTGGGAATTGGATATAATACTGTATACAGCTATAATAGACTTATTAGTACAACAATATCATGATTACAAAAATATGATATATACTTTCCGCTGAAGCATCGTTCCCCTAGACCGTGGTGTCGGGAATATGTCAGGGTTCTCTGAAGGCAGGAGAGACAATACTGTTAGCTGCTTAGGGACTTAGACTGCTAAAAGTGAGACTACTGGTGGGACTCTGAGGTAGGGTTTATTGGGATTTAGAATACTTTTCTGTGGTTATCTACTTATGGTGCTATAAGGTACGTCCTTGGCAGCGTCTGCGCAGCACAACTCCCTGCGTGGCTAGAATCTCAAACCAAAGCCACAAGTCACCCAACAACGCATGGTGATGGAATGCCCCCCCCCCCCCCCCCCCCCCCCCCCC